GGAATGCCTTCAGTTTTTCTCCATTCAGAATAATGCTAGCCTGAGGCTTAGCATAGATTGCTTTTACAATATTGAGGTATGTTCCTGTTATCCCTAGTTTTTCTAGAGTTTTGAACATAAAGGGATGCTGTACTTTGTCAAATGCTTTTTCCGCATCTATCGAGATGATCATATGGTTCTTATTTTTAAGTCTATTGATGTGGTGAATAACATTTATTGATTTCCGTATATTGAACCAGCCTTGCATCCCAGGGATGAATCCTACTTGATCATGGTGTACAATTTTTTTTATATGTTTTTGTATCCGATTCGCCAGAATTTTATTGAGGATTTTTGCATCTAGGTTCATTAGAGATATTGGTCTGTAGTTTTCTTTCTTTGAAGTGTCTTTGTCTGGTTTAGGTATCAGGGTGATGTTGGCCTCATAGAATGAATTTGGAAGTTCTCCCTCCTTTTCTATTTCCTGAAGTAGCTTGAAAAGTATTGGTATTAGTTCTTCTTTAAAGGTTTTGTAAAATTCTGCTGTATACCCATCGGGACCTGGGCTTTTCTTAGTTGGTAGTCTTTTGATGGTTTCTTCTATCTCCTCAATTGATATTGGTCTGTTTAGGTTTTCTATATCCTCCTGACTCAATCTGGGCAGATCATATGACTTAAGAAATTTATCTATGCCTTCACTATCTTCTAATTTATTGGAGTATAAGGATTCAAAATAGTTTTTGATTATCTTCTGTATTTCTGAAGTGTCTGTTGTGATATTGCCTTTTTCATCCCGTATGCTAGTAATTTGAGTTCTCTCTCTTCTTCTCTTCACTAGCATCGCTAAGGGTCTGTCGATTTTGTTTATTTTTTCAAAGAACCAACTTTTAGTTTTGTCAATTTTTTCAATTGTTTCTTTTGTTTCGATTTCATTAATTTCAGCTCTGATTTTAATTATTTCTTGCCTTCTACTTCTTTTGCTGTTGTTTTGCTCTTCTTTTTCAAGGATTTTGAGATGAAGTATGAGATCATTTATTTGTTGGTTTTTTCTTTTTTTAAGGAATGAACTCCAAGCAATGAATTTTCCTCTTAGAACTGCTTTCAATGTGTCCCATAGATTCCGATATGTTGTGTCTGTGTTTTCATTTATCTCTAAGAATTTTTTAATTTCCTCCTTGATGTCTTCTATAACCCATTGATCATTCAGTAACCTATTGTTCATTCTCCAATTGATGTATGCTTTTTCCTTCCTTCTTTTATCGTTGATTTTCAGTTTCATTCCATTATGATCAGATAAGATGCATGGTAATATCTCTACTCCTTTATATTGTCTAAGAGTTGCCCTGTGACATAATATATGATCTATTTTTGAGAAGGATCCATGTGCTGCTGAGAAAAAAGTGTAACTGCTTGATGTTGGGTGGTATACTCTATATATGTCAATTAGGTCTAGGTTATTAATAGTGTTATTGAGTTCTATAGTTTCCTTATTCAACTTTTGTTTGGAAGATCTGTCCAGTGGCGAGAGAGGTGTGTTGAAGTCTCCCATGATTATGGTGTGGTGGTCTATTAGACTCTTGAACTTGAGAAGAGTTTGTTTGACGAACATAGCTGCACCATTGTTTGGGGCATAAATATTTATGATTGTTATGTCTTGTTGGTGTATGGTTCCCTTAAGCAGTATGTAGTGTCCCTCTTTATCTCTTTTGATTAACTTTGGCTTGAAATCTATTTTATTTGATATGAGTATGGACACGCCTGCTTGTTTCCGAAGTCCATATGAGTGATATGATTTTTCCCAACCTTTCACCTTCAGCCTATGTATGTCTTTTCCTATCAAATGCGTCTCCTGTAGGCAGCATATTGTTGGGTCTTGTTTTGTGATCCATTCTACTAGCCTGTGTCTCTTAATTGGTGAGTTTAAGCCATTAACATTTAGGGTTATTATTGAGATATGGGTTGTTCTTCCAGCCATATTTGTTTATTTCTGTTACTAAACATTGTTTGTTTTCCTCTTTGATTGTTTCCCCCCCCCCTTTCCTGTCCTACCTCCCACTGTTGGTTTTCATTGTTATTTTCCATTTCCTCTTCCTGTAATACTTTGGCTAGGATGTTTTGAAGAGATGGTTTTCTAGCTGCGAATTCTTTAAACTTTTGTTTATCGTGGAAGGTTTTAATTTCATTCTCCATCCTGAAGCTTAATTTCGCTGGATACACAATTCTTGGTTGGAACCCATTATCTTTCAGTGTTTGAAATATGTTATTCCAGGATCTTCTAGCTTTCAGAGTCTGTGTTGAAAGATCAGCTGTTATCCTGATTGGCTTGCCCCTAAATGTAATCTGCTTCCTTTCTCTTGTAGCTTTTAAAATTCTCTCCTTATTCTGTATGTTGGGCATCTTCATTATAATGTGTCTAGGTGTGGATCTCTTATGATTTTGCACATTCGGCGTCCTGTAGGCTTCTAGGATTTGGGATTCTGTCTCATTCTTCAAGTCTGGGAAGTTTTCTTGTATTATTTCATTGAATAGACTGCTCAGTCCTTTGGTTTGGAGCTCTGTACCTTCCTGTATCCCAATGACTCTTAAGTTTGGTCTCTTAATGTTATCCCATATTTCTTGGATGTTCTGCTCATGGTTTCTTAACAGTCTTGCTGAGCTGTCTATGTTCTTTTCCAGTTGAAATACTTTGTCTTCATTGTCTGATGTTCTATCTTCTAAGTGTTCTACTCTGTTGGTAGTATTCTCCATTGAGTTTTTAAGTTGGTTTATTGCTTCCTGCATTTCTAGGATTTCTGATTGCTTGTTTTTTATAACCTCTATCTCCCTGTATAGTTGATCCTTTGCTTCCTGGATTTGTTTGCGTAATTCGTTGTCGAAGTGATCTTTCATTGTCTGATTTTGCTGTTTAATGTCTTCCTTGATACTCCAGATCATCTGAAGCATGTATATCCTGAATTCTTTATCTGACATTCCATCTGCTGCAGCTGTTACCTCTTCTAAAGTTGCGTTGACCTGCATTGCTTGTGGTCCTTTCTTTCCTTGTCTTTTCATACTGCTTGCGTATCTTTCCTGCAGGTGCGGGCGGCGGCTCTGCTCTCTCCTTATTCCAATTGGGGTGTCGTGGCTACCACGCCGGCAGGTCACTGGGCCTGTTCTGGGAGCTGGTGGCGGCTCTGTTCTGCCCCTACTCCAATTGGGGTGACGTGTCTGTCGTACCAGCAGGCCACTGGGCCTGTCCTGCTGGTCGGTCGCAGATCTGCCCACCTTTCGGGCACGAGTGGAGGCTCTGCTTTGCCCCTACTCCAATTGGGGTGTCGTGACTACCCCGCCTGCAGGATGCTGGGTCTGTTCCTGGCAAGGGAGGCGACTCTGCTCTGTCCCTACTCCAATTAGGGTGGTATTTGTACCCCGCCGGCAGGCTCCTGGGCCTGATCCGCAGGTCTGTTGTAGGTCTGCCTACCTTGAAGGCGCGGGCGGCGGATCTGCCCTGCCCCTCCTACCACGCCTGCGGACCCCTGGGCCTGATCTGCAGGTTGATCACTGGTCTGCTCACCCTGCGGGCACGGGTGGCGGTTCCGCTCCACCCCCACTCCAATTGGGGTCACGTGACCACCACACCGGCAGGGCCTGATCCGGGCGTGGGATAAGGATCTGCTCTGCCCCTACTCGAGTTGGGGTGACGTGTGTACCACACTGGCAGGCCACTGGGCCTGACCCGCCAGGCTGTCACAGGTCTGTTTACCTTGCAAGCGCGAAGGGCGGCTCTGCCCTGCCCCTCCTACCACGCCCATGTACTACTGGGTCGTGGGTCTGCCCACCTGGCGGGTTTGGGTGGCGGCTCCGCTCCGCCCCCTCTCCAATTGGGGTCACGCGGTCACCACGCTGGCGAGCCGCTGGGCCTGCTCCGGGGGCTGGCGGCGGCCCGGCTCCTTCCCTCTGGCTCGAGGACAAATTGAGGAGACTCGGGTGACTGAGCCTCACCCCCCTTACCAGGAGACCAACTGCTTATGTCACCGCTGGTATTGATGAAGATCTCTCCTCCACCGCTTTCTGCTGACATCAGATCTCTGCCATGTTGGTATCCTATGCGAATGGCAGCATTTCGTTCCCCTTGCCAGGCAACCCAAGCAATGGGTGAGTCCTGACCTGCCCTCAGCAGGACCCGGACCGAGACACAGTTTCCGCGGGCTCCCAGCCCCGGTCCAGGGAAGTTCCGGGAGCCGGAACTCGGCCGCTCCGTGCTCGGTGTAAGCTCCTATAAGTGTAGGCTCCAAGAAGCAGCCCCCGCGGGCTCAGTTCCGGGAGCCGGAATTCGGCCGCCTAGTGTTTGGTGTATGCTCTGATAGTAGCAGGGTCCAAGAAGCAGCCTCCGCGGGCTCCGCAGCCCTGAGCCAGGGCGGTTCCGGGACGGTTCCGGGAGCCGGAACTCGGCCGCTCTGTGCTCGGTGTAAGCTCCTACAAGTGTAAGCTCCAAGAAGCAGTCCCCGCGGGCTCAGTTCCGGGAGCCGGAACTCGGCCTCTTGGTGTTTCGTGTTTGCTCTGATATTAGCAGGGTCCAAGAAGCAGCCTCCGCAGGCTCCGCAGCCCGGAGCCAGGGCGGTTCCGGGACGGCTCCGGGAGCCGGGACTCGGCCGCCCCGCGCTCCGTGTTCACTCCGATAAGATCAGATTTTAAGAAGCCCCCAGGCGCTGAACCCTAGCAATCTGTCTGCAAGCCGCAGGCGAATTGCAGCCTGAAATTACCTGTTCTATGGCTGAATGAGCTGCGGTCAGTCAAAAACAGGTGTGGTGACGTCAGTTTACCAACATGGTGGCTGCTGGCCTCCTCTGTGGTCTGACCGGTGTGGAGAACCGAGATGGACCGCTTCCTTCCCCGTCTCGAACCCAGAATTCAGCCCTGAGTGCGGTGCTTGCGCGGCTGGCAGAAACTGCAGCACTGTAACCCTGCGTCTCTATCCCAGCGCGCCTCCTGAGTAACATTTAGATGGAATCAAATTTAAATGCAGTCCACTCTGCTTTTGAAGAGGCTTTGGTTCAGCTCCCAAATCTCGATTGTTTGACGCAGTCTCCTATAAGAATACTCAGAAGGTGTCTTCTTAAACAACAAACCTATTTTTAGTGGTGGAGCCGCTCTTAGTAGCTGTGTCTGCATGGGACTGATAACCAATCACTATCTTTGGAGGAAGTCCTAACCTTTCCTTGTATACTCTCCCTATATGTGTAACAGCCTCTCTGTTTTCACATTCAGTAGTCCATATTGCTATCTTATCACCTTTAGCTCTAACATTAACAACAGCTCCACATACATCATCACTGTAGTCATCAAAAGATTCTCCAATAAGGCACAGCAGTGTCTCTAGCCAAAAACGATCGAGGTCACTTCTTCTCTGCTGTTTGTTCAATGTAATGAGCCATCTTCCGCCCCGTTTGTTTTTCTCATCTTCCCACATAGGCTCAATACCATCCTTAAAAAGTGAGTAGTCACAGCCAGGCATTAAATTACTAGACAACTGGATATGGTTGTATAGAGCCCAAAAGTCTTCAACAGTATCAAACTTAGAGATCAGTCGAAGGTTTGCTTGCCAAGTTTTACTTTTATCATTTTTAAAAAACCAGAGTGCCCATCTGTTCTGTAGAGGATGTTTTATATAGTGTTCTGGGTTAGCAACCTCCTGATTAGATTCTGTTTTCTCCTCTTCTGTAGGCGGGGGATTAGGAGTAGGGGTGGTTTCCGGTTCCACAGTCGCCATCTTAGATTGATCTCTCTACCTTATTTCTTATTGTGAGTTACTATTCTCCTTGTAGGCATACCACATGTCATTTATCCATTCAACTATTGAACACCTGGTTGTTTCAATTTTTTCTATAAATAATGCCGCTATACACATTTGTCTTAAGGTTTCTGTGTGTATGTATGTTTTCACTTACATACATCAACTTGGGTATACATGTAAATATAGTATTGCTGTGTCATATAGTAACTTCATATATGACAATTTGAGGTCTTGCCCAGTTATTTGTGAAGATGGTGACACTATTTTAAATCACCAACAGCAATGTACAAGGGCTTCAGTTTCTCCTTGTCCTCGTCAACACTTGTTATTCTCTGTTATTTTGATTATTCATCCTTATGAATGTTAAGTATTATCTCATAGTTTTGATTTACATTTTCTTAATGACTAACGGTAATATCGCTCTGAGTTTATTATCACAGAAAGGTTTCATCATTTAAACATTTTATTACCATTATCTCATAGAAAATTCTTTCAAAAAGCAATACTCCTTCTTTTTCATATTCATCACATGCTAAATACAAGCCCAGGAAAAATAAGCAGGTATGACATATAACATAATGGTTGTCTATATACTGCCATTATAGCAATTGAGAACTTCCCTTTGCTGTCAAATTATGTATAGGCATTAGATATTGCTAATGGCTCCAGAATACTGAATGATTTAAAAGTGGATTGCTTCTAGGTTTACATCTGTGCCACTGGTGTGTTTGTCCTACTATGAATACAAAATTTTTATAAACACAATCTCATATCACCTAATTACTGAAGATACTACCATCTACAAGGTCACTCTCCAGTGGAAACAAATGTGATTGTGTAGATATATAAAATAATAATTTAACTTCTGGTCAAAAAGGACAAATGTAGAACAGCTGGATTATCTATTTTAAAATTTCCATTACTCAATTATCATATGTTGATCTGAAAACAGATGGCTTGGCAGTCAAGCAGAATTCTCCAGCATTGAATTCTATCATGTAGAAATTTATCAGTAAAGAACCTGACCTCGTCAAATAAATCCTGTGTGATATTTGCCATTATACTATTATATAAATTAAGTGCCATTTAACTCTTAATAAAATTAAACTAATCATCACTGATTGATATGGTATATTCTTAATCCATTGTCTATCTTTAATGGTTACTTTCCCTGGAGAGAAGCAATAGTCAGTCTTCAGTGTATTGTTTCTGACCAGACGGAAATTAAATGATCAGGTCTTTGAATGAGTACTGAAACATCTGTTCTTAGTATTCCATTACTCTTAACTATTTTGCTTGTTAGTAGACAGAGAAAAGTTCTCCTCTGTGAAGTGTCTCCTATAACTGAGTAGAGATGTACAGCATCAACTTTTTTGTAGGAGTAAAAAGAAACAATTGGTTTCTTCTTATGGAAAATACATAATTTTATTTTGCAAAATTGTCATATCATGCTAAAGGTGCTCATTAAATTATGTATTTTTATATAAAAATACAATTAATTTTTAAAATATAGAATGTGAGTTTTAATATACAGCATATTACATTCATTACAAACAAGTTAATTCTAAAACTAATATGCACATTTTGTTAGGTTTCTGTTACTAAAACAAAACATTTGAGATAATCAACTTATAAAGGTAAAATTCTATTTGGTATCAGTTTTGGAGGTTTCAATTCATTATCAGCTGGCCTCATTGATTTTAGGCCTGAGGTGAAGCAATATGTCATGGTGGAGAGTGCATGATAGAGTAAGCTTCTATCATCATGGTAGCATGACCCAATGACTTAAAATATCCACCTAGGTTCCATCTTTTAAAATATTTGCACTGCCTTTCAATAATGCCAAGCTGAGAAACAATCTTTTAACATATGGACCTGCAGGGGACATTTAAGATCCAAACTATAGCTCATATATATCACAGCAAAGTCTTAGTAAGTATGGTCATTTTACTGCTAACATTTAACATCAAAGTATGAAAAATTATGTGCATTTTATGATAAATATGAAGAAAGGAATATTTGCAAAACACATCCTTAGAAGACAGGTCAATAAGTTTAAATATTTCAGTGACATATAATACTTACAAATAATAGAGAAAAAGAAAAGAAAAATGATTTTAAGGAAGAGTTCAGGATTTCTAGCTCTACCAAGATAGATTATCTTTTCCACCCACCTCCTATCAAGTAAAATAACTTAGTTATAGTCAATAAACAAGTACAAAACATTGTGAGAGGTGAAGAGAGAAGTTAACCTAAGAACCTCTGGATTTGATGAATGACATGATAATAATTTCCGTGTATTTTTCTTATTGCTTCCTACATAACCCATTAAGGTACTGCAGAGAATAACACCTAAACACACCCAAACTCTTCTACATGTTAATTGTTATAATTTAGATATTAGGTGTTCACCAAAAGCTCATGTGTGAGACAATGCAAGAAAGTTCAGAAATGAGATGATTGGGTTATAAGAGATTTAGCCTGATCCATGCATTAATCCCATCATAGGGATGAATTTGGTGGTGACTGTAGGCAGGTAGGGTGTGGTTGGAGGAGGTGGGTTACTGGGAGCATACCTTTAGAGTGAATATTTTATCCTGGTGCGGAGTGCTCCCCTCTCTTCTGCTTTCTGATTATGTCCTGAGCCTATGTCCTCTACCATACTCTTCCACCATGATATTCTGCCTCATCTCAGGCCCCAAAGAATAAAGTTGACCATCTGTGGACTAAGACTGTTAGGGTCTGTAAACAAGTCAAGATGGCGCCTGGCATTTTGCCAGAGGGAGTGGTTTGTGAAGTAACGCCAGCGAGCCATTAAGTGTGGAGATTCCTTGTTGGTTTACTGCTGTATCTAGTTTATGTTAATTAAGATAAGCTGTGTGGAATGTATATATACCCCTCCTGTCCTACAATAAACGGCTCCCACTCCTGATGTATCAATGTACACAAGTTGCTCGTCACCCCCCGGTTATTTTGCTGCAGCCGGACTGCGGCATAAGACCTCTGAAACCATGAGACCCAAAACAAATTTTTCTTACTCTAATTGTTCTTGACAGCTCTTTTGACCATGGAAGCAGAAAAGCTGACAAAAACAGTAATTTAGAAAATTATCTTCCTAAATATAGGGAAAACAAAGACTGTTTTCCAAGTACAACAAAAGGAGGATTAATCAAAACATAGAAGTGAAATTTCAAGTCACCAAAAAATAGTACTGAGAGGGAAGTAGAAAGCTACAATATTTTAAAAGATATATACTGATCCTAAATGCATACATTTTTATACATTTATAATGTTTATTAGAAATTATAGATCTTATAAAAACTTTGAACAGGTATGTCACAGAAAAAGATATTCAAATGGCTACAGAAATATATAAAAGGATGTTGAATCTCAGAGTACATAGATAAATACAAATTAAGACTCAGTGCAATTATACACTACATATCTACTATAAGATTGACTCTTGGTCATCACGATGAAATAAGTTTTCCGGATTCAGCTATAAATCTGAATAATAATGAATTAATTTCAAGTGTGAATAACTTTTAATCATTACTTATAAATACAAAATGAGATTTACTCTGTTGTAATGTTCTTCAAATAAATATTTCATTTAAAATGTTTATTTTATATAAAGCTACATGATGTTTTTCTTTAAAGTGAATTACTGAATGGTATAGTCATCACTTGGATGAGTTCTAATAAAATACTTTAGCTAAAAATGACAACTTCATTTTGGGATCAACCCTTGGTAGAAGTAGACTTTAGAAACATGAGTATTTTCCCCAGCAATTACAACTGAATACGTGTAGCTTTCAATTAATAATATAATTTCAAATAATAGAAAATTGATGTTATAGATGAAGTGTACTGAACTAAAAGTATCAATTGCCTAAAAACTCACTTTTACTTTTTATGAAAGATGCCATATATAATTAAATTTCACAGTAAAAAGAAGAAAAACCTTTTACATGCTTTTATTAGTGTGATAACTATACATTTTCTAGTGGAATACAATATTAAGCTTTGTAATAACATTTCTGTTTTTTTTCCCCACTGAAAACAGCATTGTCAAATTACAGTTAATGACCCATTTTAAATCCCTCAAATTATAGAGTGAGTGATGTGAGTTAATGTGCTTCATTACCTTTTTAACATTCCTTAAGTATGTTTTCCTAAGTTTTTTAAAGAGAAAAAGTTTCAGTCATACCAAAAGTCATGTTCAACTTTTCCAGCTGTGCATAATTGTTTTTCTAATATTATTTCTTAAACAACAGATTTCAAACCATAAAGAGTATTTATAAACATATCACTTGATTTAATCCAATGAGGTAAACTAACTTAAGAAAAAAGTCATCAGTAACTTAGTAAGACCCTGTGTCAAAATAATAGATAAAAAGGGCTGGAAATGTAGTTCAGAGTTAAAGCATTCCTGGATTAAATACCTAGTATCAAAAATAAGATTAAAAAAGAAATAGAAAGAAAGGAAATCAAAGTATCACAGTTTTGGAAAAAAAATACTTTATGATAGGAAGTAATGATTTGAATTCATATTATCCTCTCAATAATCCACTCCACTAAATTGAATATTATGGTTATAGTAAAACAAAATTTCTTAATTTCATAGTGCTCCTATTTAGTATGATTAGATCTACAACCTAACATAATTAGGTAATTATAGTCATTAATTAATATTTAAAGGAAATGCAATAGAATATAAAAGTTGGTTATATGGTCCTTAGCTAATTGGAAGCTCCTCAGGGAAATTTCTTTTGGAAAGTACAATGGCAACTGCTTGGACAAATGGAAAAAAAAAAACAAGAACAAAAACAACAATGTCCTCACATATTCACAAAATATGGCAAAGGCAAAAGGTGGACAGAAGCAGTATATAATGCTTAATATATTCTTCATTCCATAAACAAGTATAATAGGTATACAGTCAGAAAAATTATGATGAAGGTTATACCTACATTG